TTCGGCGGACCCGCAGGGAACGAACGGGAGGCGGCGCCGCGGCTCACGGTGAGCGGGAGCGGGCGGGGGCAGCCTCGGCAGCTGGGGAGGGGCCGCGCCCGAGCTGGGGCCTTTTAGAAGCTGAGGCCGTGGGCCCCGCGGACTTCGTGGGATCGGGAGAGCTAAGCTGTCCGGGGGAGGCCAGGGCCCCGCCTACGCACGAGGAGAAGTGGGGGTGCCGCCGTGGGTGGGTGCTGGGCGCGGGACCCCGGCCGGGACGGCGGGCAGGCGGCACCTCCGTGGGGTGAAGAACTGCCCGGCGCCGCCCGGCCAGGCTGCGTGAACTCGGTGGCGCGGCACAAAGGCTGCTGTCAGTGCCCTCCCCGGGGACCGCGCTCCGCGCGCGGGGGCCGCAGCTAGAGAGACCCTTGCGACGAGTGAACGCACTGGAGTCTGCATTGTCTCTCGCTCCACAGCAAGAAAGGCGCCTTCAGTCATTTTGTTACCCGATTTGTACTTGCCCTTCTTAACTCACATAATTTTCCAGATTTCGGGAGTGAGATGATTTATTATTAAACACGTCAGAAAACAACCGTAACACTCTAAAAAAATTGCCCTTTTTAGTGGTTGTAGGAGGAAAGCTAGTTCTGGCAAAATTGGTTCTCAAGTGCCGCCTCTGGCCTCCACACTGCTGGTGGCTTCAGAAATCAGCTGAATTGGTATGTTGTTAAATAAAAAGGAAAACGGGGTTGCTAACAGTCTTTAGGGAACAGTCTGTGGGCCTCAGAAACAGCAAGGCTTTCTCTTTCAGAATTGAGTCATACCGATTACAAAGCCTTTTATTCTCACCTTCTTATGGCTTCTGCTTTATTGTATTTCATAATATTCACATTGTACTTAATAAGACTTTATGGTAATCATAAAGGCCCATAAACCTACTTTTCATCCTCTACATCAGTATTCATTTATTTTAATTAATTCTCATTCGGGATATGTTTTAACCCCAAGCAATTTACCCTCGTCTTTTTGAAAGTTTAATAACCATGTTGATTGTTAATCACTGTCAGAATTTTTGCTGGTCTTTTTTCTTTTTGAAGTGTCTTCTTAGGAACTTTGAAGAATCTATGGTACCTTTAGAATTAAAACAACATCTTCAAATTTTAATAAATTACCCAAAGTTCTTAATGCAGTTATTTACTGCCCCCCTTTTTTGGTCTAAAATTTTAAAAGAATGACTGCTCATTCCTTTCTTTGCGCTACTTAGTTATCTGGCTAATTATGTTAAATGGCAAAATAAGGTAATCATAAATAATCACTAGAATAATTTGCATTTTACAAATTTGTTTTAAATCTAAGAATTAAAATTTTATTGCTTTTAAATTATAATACAATATTGCTTATTTTTATATGGGTTTAAAGTTGAGTAATGGCCTGAAAGTAAAGTTGAATAGTAGTAGTGTAGTATTGAAATTAGTTATCTGTTTGATGTACTCACAGGTTACTAAGAGTATATATATATATATATGTATGTATAAAGAATATATTATGTTCTAAAATGTAATATTTATAAAGTGAATTGTATGTATTTTCACTATAACTCTAATAGTCCCCATTTTTGGCTAGTATGAGGGTTTCAGCTGTTTAGCTTTTGGAAGATGACTAATGAGGCGTAACTATATAGGATTGTTTTTACTCCAATATTTGCATTTAAAGTTTTTTTTCTTCCTCTTTGTGTAGCTTCCTGAGAGTTACATCTTTGAAGAAACATGAAGTCATATTCTGTTGTTATGCTTACTCTAGCCATCCTGGTGTTCCTGACTTGGGTCCCTGTATCACTGAGTTGTAACAAAGCACTCTGTGCTAGTGATGTGAGCAAATGCCTCATTCAGGTAAGACTAAGAGTTCTTTTTATTAATATTAACATATATTGTAGAATAGATAAAGAACACACACACATAGAGAGTGTCTATGTAATACAGTGTGAAGCTTGAATATTAGATCTGGGCTTGAGGTACTGAGCCATTTGATACACTGGTTTGGGTTTTTGCCACCATAGATTGCTTGCATACAAGCAAGTTCTGGGCCCTGCCTGGTGGCCTACTGGGTTAAAGAGCAGCACTGCGAAGCTATCAGTAGCCAGCAGCCACTTCAGCATGAGTTCAATCCTTAGCCAGGCAGGTGACCCACATGTCATGGCAGACTTCTTCTGACCCACACGCTGCTCTTCTCAACAGTGTTTCACACAATCCGCCTGGTCTGTTCCTAACTCTGTATCAGTGAATCCTCTCACTACCCCTGCACCTCTGTCCTGTACCCCATATTGTATGCATAAATAAATAAATATTTTTTTAAAAAATAAGTTATGATTCAAGAATATTCTGCTTTATAAACATGCCATCACAAAGTGATGAGCACTCAGATGATTGAAGGGTTCTCTTGTATAAGCTAGTTTACATAGCAAAGAGGGTTCATTACTACATTTAGGGAAAAAAATTAGCTAACTAAATGGTAAATAAATTGTATCATAAGTATAATATCCTAGTTGTTTATTGTATGTAACAAATTACCACCAAAAGTAACAACAGTGCAGTAAACATTATTTCACACAAATAATTTTTTAAAAACAGTATGTTTATTTTTACATCGCTTTATGCATTTTTCCATCTCAGTTGTAATCTCCATGGGCTTCCCATCACCAAATCACCCTTGTGCTGACACTGTAGTCCAATGCATTTCCCTCCCCTCACTGTTTTTGAATCCCATTCCCCACTCCACCCCCATAAAATGTCTCTGGTATTTAGCTGTTCATCATTATTATTATTTTCTCACCTGGTCTGTTAGAGTCCTGCTATGAGTGAAGCCATCCAGTATTTTTCCTTTTCTTTCTGGCTTATTTCACTAAGCATGATCTTCTCCAGCTCCATCCATATTGCTGCAAAAGGCATGTGTTTATTTTTTTGGTTGCTGAGTAATATTCCATTCACACAAATATTTTTTATTTTAAATAACATTTTATTGCAGTAACACTGGTTTACAACATTATGCAAGTTTCTCCTATACAGCATTATAATTCAGCAAATGTATACATCAAAGACGAAAAGTCTAAGTTTCCATCCTTTCCCATACAATTGACCTTTGTGTTTCACCCATACTCATCCTTTACTCCTCTAGTATACACTGATTTGTTCTCTGTATCTGAAAGTCCATTTTGTATTTGTGAGAGTTGGAAATCTGGGAGCAGTTGAGCTGCATGCTTCTGTCTTATATCTCTCACCAGATTGCAGTCAAGTTATTGATTGGACCAGGAAATCTGCATTCAGGATATTTATCTCAGTCATAAAAGAAAGAGCAAAGATGTAACTAATACCCTGACCTCATCTTTCTGAGAAGAGTAAGGTTAAGTAACTTGGCTATGTTTACATAGTTAGTCAGTGGACATGAAATGTGGTCTGTGTTTGACTGCAAAGTCTAAGCCTTTCTACTAAACATACAGGTTATTACTCTCCATAAAGTTGTGTCAATTAGTGGTGAACCTCATGTATTATATATTGTTTCACTTCCCATCCTGTTAAATCATTAGTAGTCTTGTGCCTTTTGTGTGTCTGTCTTTATTACCTCCCTTCTAGTTATTGGCTGTGGGCTAAGAACTTCAGTAACCAAACATAGTAGAACTCTCTGTGAGGTATGAGTCAGTTGTTTCTTGACGAATCCTGACATGAGAGTAAATATATATATATATGTACTGGACATAATTGTGTTATTCATCGTTCACAAATATTTTATGCTTATTTGTGACATTTGGTCCTTCTTGTTAATCATTGAAATTCTAGGAGGTGTGATCTTTATGTTAGTGTAGTTTGCCACCATTTTGTATTTCAACGCAAACATTTGACCAAAAAAAGTTGGCTGATTAGTTTTTAAATTTTTTAGTATAGGTGTTTTCAAGTATAAATAGAAGCAAGCAAAGTATAGTGAACTACTTATCAACAGTTACAGCACTTGTTACCTCATCATTACTTCCCTACTCTCCACCCCAGCTCTATTTTAATTTCAAGAAAATTCCTACTGGTCCTTTTGGTGACCTGCGGTTTAAATTTCAGGAATGTTACCACTACAGACTGTATTTGACCCAGGCCAGGGAGCTAACTCACATAGGGCACAACAGACTTCTGTCTCGCCTACCACTCTCCTCAGCAGTGTATTTCAGTATATCTGCCTGTTCTGTTCCCCATTCTGTCTCTGGTGGATCCTTTTACCACCACCTCCTACCTTGCCTACACCCTCCTTCTTCTATGCATAAATAAATCGTTTAAAAAAAAAAAGAAAATTCCTGCCACTGTTTAATCAAACTTTGACATGAGATATTTTTATCCTTAAATACTATGCTCCTTTGTACCAAAGAGTTGTCTTGAGTACTCTAGGGAAAGATTTGATGATTTGATGATTCCTGTTGAAAGAATAACAGGAATCTGAGCAATATTATTGTCACAGAATTAATGGTTAAAAAAAAAGGCTTCTATGCACGGGATTATGGTGATGGCACACGGGTAATTTGGTGATGGGAAACCCGCGGGGATTACAATCGAGATGGAAAAAAAAATGTACAAAATGTACAAAATGATGTAAAAATAAACTTTTGTAATAAAAAAAATTATAAAGAAAATTAAAAAAAATAAAATGCATGTGTTATCTAAAAAAAAAGGCTTCTTTTCAATGAGTTTATTAGAATCACTATTTGATAGGTGATTGACTTGACCTTCCAGTTTTATACTTTTTTTCTAAGTGTTTTGTCTTTAAAATATTTTTAACTTTTTATTCTGTATTCCTGGAAATTAACTTTACCTTTGAACCCTTTTATTAGATTTTAAAATTTTGGGAATCAATTAAATGTCAGGAGCTCTTATTTTCAGCTTAATTTTCATATTAACACTTTTGCTTGTTTTGGATGCCCATTTTCTTAGATATTTCTGAAGATATTTATTGCAAGTTTTATAGATAGAGATACAGATGTGTGTTTTCTCTCTGTTCCATTACTTAGATTATCTCTCTATTCCAAGACTTTTTAAAAATTTCTTTCATGTGGCAGCCTTTCTTCAAATGTGTGGCATTCCTTAGTTATCTATTATAGTTAGCAATGAGGCAATAACAATATAACTTCTGATTACAGATATATGCATGTGAGCAGTGCTAACTTGAAGGGCAGGGAAACCCTTGATCCTGGAATGTGTCTATCCTCTGCTCTAAGGCTGATAATTTTCCTGAAGAGAACATTGTGGTTTACTTGTTTTGACTGGTTGATTTTCTTCTTCTTGTTGTGGTGAATGGTGGGTACATGGCTGGTGCTTGTCTTTTTGTTCTACCGTGGTGGGTGACCAGATTAAGTCAGATAGAAACTTGAAAGTTGTCTTTTTAGTCTCACTCTCTACAGTTGACTTAGGACTTCAGGAGATCCCTTGAATTATATTTAAAAATGTGTAAGTACAGTTTTCTGGGGAAAAAGTCCAAAGTTTCTAAGAGGTTCTCAAAGTGGTTGATAATCCTGGAGTGATTAAGACTTGCTGGGGCTTTGCTTTCCATTGTCCATACTAAGTTACCATTACAATTCTGCTTTTATGGCCCTCTCTGGTGGCGCAGCAAGTTAAAGCACAGCAGTAAGAAGCTAAAAGCCACTTCAGCATGAGTTCAATCCTCGCTCCAGAGGTGATCCACATGGCATGTCAAGCCCTCATTGACCTGCCTGCTGCTCCCCTCAGCATTGTACTTCATCAGTCTGCTTGGTCTGCTTCCCACTCTGTCTCTGGTGAATCGTCTCACCGCCCCTCCACCTCTGGCCTGTACCCCAGTTCTATGTGCAGAAATAAATAAATCTTAAAAAAAAAAATTCTGCTTTTACATTCAACAAAGCACAAGACTCATTCACATTTTATTTATTTTTATTAAAGAAATATTCCTTTATTATAAGATTTTTATTTTAGTTTTGCATAGAAGAACTGGGGTGTAGGGCAGGGGTGGATGGGGCTGAGAGGATTCGTCAGAGACAGAGTGGGCAGCAGAACAGGCAGATTGATTGAAATATACTGTTGAGGGGAGAAGTGGGTGAAACAGGAAAGGGTCTGCTGTGCCATGTGGGTCAACTCCCTGGTGGCTATAGGACTATGGGGCTGCTTTGCCCCTGGAGGGCCATTGTGTCACCTTGAGAGTCAGGGTGGTAGCCCTGAGACTTAACCCCTAAGCCACCAAGGAAGCCCTCATTGACATTTCATATAACAATAATATCCTTTCTTTTTACACTTACAGAAGAGCATGTATAGAACTGAAGGGAGGGGGCATACTTTTTAAAAGGCAATCCTATAAAAGTTTCAAGAAAACTATTACTCCCTTTTGGGGGGAATTTAGATTACTTTTGTTATTTTGGTTTGGTCTGAACATCTGTAGTATTGAAATGATGTACTGAGAGGACAAGTTGGAAAATTTGTGCTGAGCCCTCTCTGTAGTTGTGAAATAACTGAGTATAAAAAAGTGTTCCTTGGAAGCTCATAGTTATGTAAATATTTTTTACCAGCATGGTTTCAAGGCAGCATAGTCATTCCTACCACTCCTACTAGCTGCTATGAGTAAGGGTGGTCCCCATATAAATATTTATTTTGTGCTTCCGACAGGAAAAAAGTCATAACTTCAAGCATAAAGTAAAATTGCTGCCTTGGTGTACTCCTTGCTCATATAATTAGTGATTTAGCAGTCCAATTTGATGAAGCAAAAACCAGTAACAAAGGAGTTTTTTAAAACAAAACCGTTAATAGTTTTTTTCCTGCATTTGTGAAAAGAACTTTTAAGATTTGGATCAGTGTGCATTTTCCCCAGGAATCCCAAGATTCACTTTGTATTAAGA